ACGGGACTTGCTGATGGTGGCATGACTAAACGCCTTGAAGAGGTTGAACTCGATGGCGAGGATAGACTGGAAGAAGGACGCACTGCTAAACCTAAAGATGAGGTTAAAGTTGATGATGAGGTGAGACTCGATGATAGAGCCAGTGACAGAGGCATACCAATCGATGATGTTGACATTGATACACTTGATGAAGAGGGTAAACTAGATGGCTGCTGCATCGGTAGATTGGAAGATGGCAGGGTAGCTAAACCCAATGAGGTCTGACTCAACAATGAAGCTGGTGGCAGGGGCATAATACTCGACGACGATGGAGGTCCTACTAAATTTGGCGAGGTTAAACTCGATGACGAGGTTATACTCGACGGCCAGGTTAGATACGACGGTGGTGTCACTAAATTTGAGGAAGAAGTTAAACTCGATGGCTGTGACATTATCAATCGCTGCGTTGCTGAATTCAACGGCGGTGAGGACAAACTCACTGTGGATGTCAACCCAGGCGATGGCAGGGTCAATAAATTGGATGACGCCGAAATAAATCTGGAGGGTGAGATCGTTAAACTCGTGGATGGGGTGAAACCAAACGAGGAGGAGACACTTGGAGCGATCAAACCCGGCGCCTGCTGCGGCGATTTCCCAGACCCAGCCAGGCCCAATGGCCTGGCTGCATTACCCAGCGACACTTCATTCACCGCCTGAAAAACTGGGGCAGCTGCTTTCAGGGTTGGCACCGCCACTGCCGGCGTCATCGTGGCCTGTGGGGCCTGTGGGGCCTGTGGGGCCTGTGGGGCCTGTGGGGCCTGTGGGGCCTGTGGGGCCTGTGGGGCTTGGACCAGGACGATTTGACTTCCAGGCGCGAATCCCTGCGGAGGAACCACGAAGCTCTGGTTGTTGAACAGGATGTGTGTTCCGCCAGGAAGGAACGTCTTTGACGAAATCACCACGCTGTTCCCGCTTATTGTTGGTGGCACTGCTGCTGTTGGCCCAGTGCCGGGCCTGGGATTCAAAGATGAGACAGCCGGTCTACCCACAACCATGGAAGCCGGCGAGACTGTGGAACGTGGCTGCAAGGCAGGCGATGCCGCGGATGGGGTCTGTACGGCAGCGGCACTAATGGCGGTAGTGTTGGCACTGCTGCCCGCCCTCCCATCCCCCCGCAGTCTTGCCGAGACACCCGGTGCAATCGGCAGCCGGGGTAAGGAGGTCACCGTCGGTAGTGGAGTGAAGAGACCCGGCCGGGGGGCTCCGACAGCCGAAGCGATGGAGGGGACGCAGGAGACGAGGGGAGCGGAGGGATGGGGGGACGCTGCCGCCGCCAGCACAAACGAGGAAGCGAGGTGCTTTGTCTTGACTGTCTGGATGGCGAGAGCACAGCTCGTGCGTGGTGGGGTGTCCTGGACCCCTGCTACTGGTCGCAGCGCTGGTCCGCAAGTCCCAGGAGCTGCGGCCACTGTCGCTACCAGAGGGAAGTTCAAAACGCTAGTGTCCGCCCTCACGGGGCTGCTGAGTCCTGGGCTCATTACTTGTTTGCTGCCCGGAAGCAGCTGCTCACGAGGCACGGCTGGTGTGGACGCTGCTGTTGTGGTGGGGGCAGCTCTGGTTGGCTGTGCAGGAAGCGTGAAGCAGGTTTGATTGGCGAGCGCAACAGGGCCAGATGTTCCACGCACGAGAATAAACTTCTGTTGCTGCTGCGACGTGGATACCGGTTGCAGCCCCAATCTTTCGCCTCCTCCTGCTCCCCTGCTTGTGCTGGTGGTTTGGTTGCAGCCTTGCATCCCCAATTCTGTTACTGCCGGTGCCGTTGCAGTCCAGGTTGGAGAACAGATGGCCCCGGTGAATGAGCGAAAGTTTGAGATGGGAGGAGTCGAAGCGGGGGAGGAAGCCATTGTCAGAGATGGACGGCAGGTGCCTGCCATCACCATCGTGGACGGCGAACTTGCGGTGCCGGTGTGAGTGTCCTGGGTCCGGAGCGGCGGGGAAATTGGAAGCTCGGGAGTCGGCAGGGCGACTGAGTTGGGCGACCGTACGCGTACCAGCCCGGTGTTCCCACCCCGTGTCGTTACAAGGATCGACTGAGACTCGTGGACGCAGAACGTCTTTAGGACCTGGCCGCTTGGGTCCATGGCGCCAGTGGCCACAGCTGAACTGCGATTACTCTGCATCTTTGTTCCCAGGTCCTGGGTCTGTCCTAGAGAAGTCTGGGTCTGTCCAAGAGTCTGGGTTTGCGTTTGTGTCTGGCTCGGACTCTTTGGCAGAGATTGGCTTGTGTGTGGCAACGTTGTTTTAGTCTCTGTCTGTCCTAGTGTCTGCGTGTGTCCTCGTGTATTAGCCTGTGCCACCGTCTGTCCTAGAGTCTGGGCCTGTCCCATTAATTGACTTTGTCCCAGTGTCTGGATAAGAGTCTGTCCTTGTGTTTTGGCATGTCCGAGTTCTTGGATCTGTCCCAGTGTCTCAATCTGAGTCTGTCCGAGCATCTGAATCTGTTTTGGCATTTGAGTCTGTAAATTTGTTGTAATCTGTTCTGTTGTCTGCGTTTGTCGTAGCGTCTGGATTTTACTCTGTCCTGTTGTCTGAGTCTGTCCCAATACTGGAAGCCGAGCTTGTTCTTGCGTGTTAGTTTGTCCAGGTGTCTGTATCTTAATTTGTCCTTGTGCCTGTGTCTGCCCTACCTTTTGCAATTGTCCCAGTGCGTGGATCTTAATTTGTCCAAGTGTTTGAGTCTGACCCTGTGTCTGCATCTTAATCTGTCCTGGTGTCTGTGTTTGTCCCAGTGCTTGGGTCCGTATCTGCGTCAAAGTCTGAGTTTGTCCTTGTGTCTGTGTCTGAATCTGTTCCGGGGTGTGACTCTGAGTGTGACCCATCTGATTTATCATCCGAGTCTGCCCTGATGCCTGAGTCTGTCCCATTGTCTGGATCCTGATATGTCCTGTTGTTTGTGTCTGTTCTAGCATTTGAATCTGTCCTATTGGAAGAGTCTGTCCCAATGTCTGAGCTTGTCCTGGTATCTGGACATTCATCTGTACAGGCGGCTGGGTCTGTTCAAGTGTCTGAATCTGTCCAATTAACTGAGTGTGCCCCGGTGTCTGGATCGTAACTTGTCCTAATGTCTGGCTTTCAGTCTGTGCCACAGTATGAACCTGCCCTGTTGTCTGAATCTGACCCAGGGTCTGAGTCTGTCCCACTGTCTGAGTCTGTAACTGTGTCTGGATTTTAACCTGCCCTGGTATCTGACTCTGCGTCTGTCCAATTGTCATTGTCTTTACCAATGCTTTCACCACCTGGCCTGCCACCCCTGGCTTTGCCTTCTCCTCCTGCTGCTGTTGTTGCAGCTGCTGCTTTGGCTGCTGCTGCTGCTGGCACTGTGCCAGGAAACTGCGTGGCAGCAGCAGCACCTGCTGCACGACTGCTTGGCCTGTCCGTGGGTCGGTCGTCGACTGCGACACAACCCTCACCTGGCCCCCGCTCAGGTCGATCGGCAGCAGGCGCCCGTCTGCCGTCCGGTACATCAGTCGCATCGGCCTCTCCGCAACGGACCCAGCTCCCGTTCCAGATGAAACTCCTGTTCCGGCTGTGGTTCTGGCTATGGCCCCACCTTGAGTTCCGGCTCCCGTTCCAGTCATGTTTCCTGTATCTTTCACTGAAGCTGGGCTCAATATGGCTACAGCTACGGCGTCTGCGCCTGTTCCAGCAATTGTTGTTTTTCCTGCGCTTGTTCCAGCCGCTGCTCTGAATCCAGCTTCTGCTTCACATTTGTTTTCAGATTTACTTGCAGGAGTGTCCCGAGCGAGCTGTCCAGTCAGACCTTTCCCCTTTTTCTTCGCTTTACTCTTCGTCTTTGACCGATCCTTGACTTTTCCACTGCTGTGACGGCGATGGGAGGACTTGGGTGGCGTCCAAACTTCCGTGGGGGAGTCGGCGCGCGATGTCATCCATTTTCTTCCATCCTCCTCTCCACCCTCCTCCTCCTCGTCCTCATCATCATCCTCATCCTCGTCAAAGTCACTGGTGTCCGAGTGGTTGCCGTTGGCGGTGGTTGTGCGTGCTCGTTTGGGCGAGGGTGGTAGTGTTAAGGGAGTGGCAATGATGTCGGTGATTGTTGAAGCTGTGGCAGTGGTTGTCGTGGAGAGAGTGCGGCCGCGCTTGCGCCGAGATGCCAGGCGCACGTTGTGCAGGGCGACCATTTCCGGGTCGGAAGCTGGAGCTGAGAAGGAGTCGTTTGAGCCATCGTCGAAGGAGGTTCCATCGGGGATGAGGCACGGCAACTTACCTGGGCGGAGGGGACACAGTGAGATGTGCTGTATTGCTGCTGGTGGCAGCGATAGTGATGGTGTAAGTGCTGGTGGTGGCAATGAAAATGTTCATGGTAGTGGTTGTGGTGAGGATGTAAATGCCAAAGGTGGAGGTGTTGTTGGTAATGGTGGTGATTGATGGTGGTGGAGAGAGTGGCAATGAATATGTTGATGACCGTGGGCATGGATGTGTTGACGATGATGGTGCAGATGACAAAAATGGTGGAGATGGTGTGGCCACTGTTGTGCTGGTGATGGTGAAAATGATGGGGCTGGTGGTGATAATAGTAATCATGGTGGTGGTAGTAGAGGTGGTATGGTGGTTAATGCATTGTGCTAAGAATGACCCTGGGCACGGCCTAAATGAATGGAAAGTGGTGTCTGGACTAGTGATGGGCACCACCCAGGTCATTTCAGCCTTATGTGAGTACCTGTTTCAGTATTTAAACATCAGCACTGGGATAGGCTGTGCTGGCCTTCACTGAATCTCTCGAGCAGCACTTGCCCAGCACTTTAGCTACACAATTAATCTTTGTCGTTGTGAAATGATGGTGGTGGTGACAAAAATAATAATCTAGGACATCCTCCTACTATTAACGATGTTCTCAATGGTGATGATATTAATGATGATGATGATTATAATGCCAAGTCCTGTCTCACCAGTCTGCGGTCCCTGCACCTCCCCTTCCTCCTCGTTCTCCTCCTTCACACGTCTCCCCAGGTCGTCCTCGCTCAGCCACTCTCCCTCCTCCTCCTCGTCCACCTCGTCACCCCTTTCCACCCGTGCCGAAAAATCATCAAACTCCTTCTTCATCTTCGACCTGCGAAGACCGCACACGGATGTTCATAATGGCCTGATTGGTTTCTAATGGCCATGTCGGAAACTACAGCACCTCTGAGGCAAGGTAAACGTGAGGTATCTTTGACCTGAGGAACCAGAGCAGACAAGACCCTCTTCCCCACTATCCTCTCCCCTTCCCGTACAATGACAAAGATCTCTCATATAGCCTTAATAGACTGTTGGGGAAGGTGCTGTTAGCAAGCATATATGAAGGTCAGCATAGCACACGAAGAAGGGTTGCGTGGCCAACACAAAATCTGGCCACCTTTGAGTTTAACAAGAATTCCCTCAGTATGAATAAACTGTCGCGCTTCTATTATTACAAATCTTACCATAAAAATATTTTTTTGTCTGTCTGTCTGCGCACGCGCGCTTGCGAGGGATTTGGCTCTCAAACGATGGGGTGTACGTAAAATAAAATTAGCCAGGTACCACGCCGTAAGCCCCACGGTGGGCAAGCGCTATTTCCTTTTCCCATCCGTCACCTTTAAATTAGTTTAAATAGCGTTTTTTGCGATTTCTCTATATTAAAATATTTCCACCATTAATTATTTATTTCCCTTCACCGCTCGGGGTGGGACAACGCAGCATGCGCACAACGCTCATCACGGTTAGACCCTAGCAACCCACACGCGCCATTGCTGGAGGTGTGCGGCCTTTTTTATTTGCCTGCACTATGAGGTAAGTCGTACACATTAGTATTATAAGCATTTATAAAACTACACTTTGCACTGCTGACAGGGGTTGCCCCTAGCAACGCACACACGATCGGCACAAATTTTCATTCGCGTTAAACATGCAACTAAAGCACACAAAACGCTGAGGTTATTTATTCACAGTGTGATGTCCTCTTCTCCCCACCGCGTCCTGTTACTACTATAAAGCCCCTAGATATTATTATAGCGCTTAGATAGTATTATTGTAGCACGGCCGGGGGGAGCGGCCGAGCCCCTAGCCTGCCAAGGTGACACCTCGGCCGGCTGCGCACTCTAGGCGAGGACGGGGGCTCTGCACGGGACTAGGCCTCACCACGGCAATGTTAAGTACCATTTCCTTGCTTCTTTCCCTAACCTCAACTTGATAGAAACCCAGTTTTTTAAGAATCACCTTGCTAATATTACATTAACTATGTTTGTGTGCAGACTACTATTTTTGTTTGCCTGCTCACAACAAATATTTTAACAATCACTTTGTCATTATTATATTTATTATTTGTCAACTCACCTTTATAGAAAATTTTGTTTCTATAACCACCTTGATAATATTACATTAATATTGTTTGTGAACAACTAATATTTATCTTCCTTGCATCTTTCATTAAACTCACGTACATATAATCCTGTTATTTTAATAATTTCCTTCAAAATATAAAAACAGATTTTTGTGTGCTCACAACTAATATTCTTTCAATACCTTGGTCATTAATAATATTCTTATTAACTAACGTTGACAGAAACATGAATTTTAAAGAATCACTTTGCAAATATTACATTCATAATGTTTGTGTGCTGACAACTAAGATTTAAAAATGTACTTGGTCAACATTAATATATTTTTTATTGTGTCTAAGTAATTGTGTGCGTGTGAGTCCATGTGCGTGTCTGCCACCATTTGTGTGTCTATGTCCGTGTGTGTATCAGTTGATGTGTGTGTGAATCGATGTGTGTGTGCATGAGTTGATATCTCTGTGTGTCAGTCGCTGTGTGTGTGTTAGTCAATGTGTGTGCGTGGTGTGTGTACACAACTAATATTTAACAATTAGGTTACTTCAATTTTAACTAATTATGTGTGTCTGCGTCGATATGTGTGTGTGTGTGAGTCGACGTGTCTGTGTGTGTCAGTCAATGTGTGTGTGTTAGTCAATGTGTATGCGTGTTTTGTGTGTGCGTAGACAACTAAGATTTTACAATTAAAATAGTACATTTCTTAATATTTATGTCCGTCTAAGTACATGTGTGCATGTGAGTCTATGTGTCTGTGTGTGTGAGTCGATGTGTCTGTGTAGCTCCATGTGAGCGTCTTAGTCCATTTCTTTGTGTGTCTGTGTGTCAGTCGATGTGTGTGTGTGTGTGTCGATGTGTGTGTGTGAGGATCAAGTGTGTGTGTAACTCCATGTGTGTGTATCTAAAGTCGATGTCTGTGTGTGAGCTCATGTGTGTGTGTGCAAGTCGATGTCTTTGTGTGTGTGGGTCAATGTCTGTCAGTATGTGTAGGTCAATGTGTGTCTGTCTTTTTCGCCCGGGCAACACCGGGTACTTCTCGCTAGTAAATCTATTAATTTTGTGTGTGCCCCTATGACAAATGTCCCGTTTGTTTGCCCCTTCCACACTGCTGAATCTGGCCATGCTCCTGAGGCCCTGGGTTCAGGGTTCAGGGTTTGAGCCCTGGGTCTGAGCGATTCTCTCTTTCACCTCATCCTGTGCGCTGCCTTGTGCAGCTTCTGCTCCCAGGGTACCAGCTCGTTCAGGAGCCGCAGCAGAGTCTCGTGCAGGTCCTTCACCCTCCTTCGCCTGAATGACTTCTTTTCCTGTAGCGAAGACACACACGGGAGGTGGGTTAGAGGTCGCGGGTGGTTGGGATGGTGGTTACAGAGGTAACGACGTTCGATTTGGGAGTTATGACGGTGGTAATTGTAGTGCTCGTGGATAATGGTAGTGTTGGGTTTTTGAGGTGGCGATGGTTATTTTGGAGATGATGATGGTTTGTGACAATGATTGCGGTGGTTATGGAAGTGATGTTAGGTGTAGTGGTTATGATGGTGGTGGTCATAATAATGGTGGTAGTTATGGTGGTTGTGATGATTATGGACATAGTGGTGTTTATGCTGGTGTTGGTTATGTTAATGATAGCAATAACAAAGATTTAGAAAGTGTAAATATGTACACAAACTTGCATATGTGTATACATGCAAATATATAGACACACATAGACACATATGTGTATGCAGACAAAGACACACTCAAAAGTGTCTCCCCCCTCCAATGAGGCTGGGACTGTGTTCATTTCCTGTTTCCAGTCCTGAGCAAGTGGTACAATTCCACATTCCTCTGACAGGGGCAAGTCTTTCCAAAGAAAAACTGTGTGTGGTACATGGCTTGGTGTTTGGTATGGCGTATTGATCGGTGGTTCATTAGTCAACCCGACCGTTTTTCTTCGAACGCCACTTTCCACCTCCATCCTCTGCTTCTCCACCTCTGCGATGAGATCCCTCAGGTCCTGCAGGTTTCTGCACACGAGCTGACAGCAGCGAGGGCAGGGAAACGGGGCAGAAGAACCTCACCTCCACTCACGACCGACACAGGAGCCTCAATATCCTGACTACCAAGATCCTGAGAACCAAATGAGACTCCAGAGCTTGAGACTCAGTCTCCCCGAGTCTCATGAGCCTGAAACATGGTGTCCTGGAACCGAGACTCAAAATATATTGAGACACAGATGAGTCTCAAGATCCTGAGACTTGGTCTACTTGAGTTCTGATCTCTCTGGAGTCTCTAAGATCCCGAGATCTGGCCTCTTTCAGTAAAGTGTTAATAAAGTCTCTGATCCTGAATTTGGTCTCTCTTGAGTCTCAAGATCCAGAAACCGAGTCTCCTAGATTTGAGCCTCAATGAAGACTTTAATCTTTTTCGATTTAAAGCTTTCGTGACTGGTTCTTTCGGTAAAGTCACGTCCCTGTGCATCCATCACTATCGGCCTGGTTATCAACATTATCACCATCACTCACCTTAAACTGTGGTTCTGACGTAGGAGACAAATTTCCCTCTTTCAGTTTCTTCACTAGGTTTGCGCTGGCTGGACGTTTTCCTAAACAAAGTAAAATATCCCTGTTAGTTTCAATTAAAAATGGGTCTTCAAGACTCAAAACATATATGTTAAATTAATTACCCACACTACAGACACACATACACTGCTAAAAAAACAAAGATCCCCTGTATAGCCTTTAACAGGCTGGTACGTTGCACAAGGGGGTGATGATGCCAGAATCATGTGTGGCTATCTTTGTTTCCCCAGTGCTGATGTACACACACCACACCAGGTACTCATTTAAGGCTGAGTTGACCTCGGGTAGACCCAAGAGAGGTTTAGATGCCACTTGCCACTGAGGCTATTTGCAGCTGGGAATCGAACAGAGGTCACCAAGGTGATAGTGCAGTGCGATAACCACTACTAAAAACACACACACACAATAATGCACAAGACATACACAGACAAGTAGGTCCATTCATTCAGGAGGGTTTTAGTTTATGTGGGACGAAACTAAAGTACACGGAGAAAACCAACCGTCCATACTAGGGGATAACACCCAAAGGTCCACAAAGATGGATTCACAAACACGCCTGCTCTAAATCTTGACTTAAAGCTTTCGTAACTGCAGGAATTCATATTCTTTAGGTCTTTCGGTAAAGTCACGTAGATAGGTTCAGCAGGATGATGATGACCGCTTATGTTGCGATCGAAACGTCGTAGTTTTTGCTTATTTTCTTTGAACCTATCTACGTGACTTTACCGAAAGACCCAAATAATACGCCTGCTCTACTGCCATTTCTTGGCCAAGTCACAACCCAATGAGTTTGGGAGTTTCACAAATCTCTACGAGATCCACCAACCCTGGCTTCCACGGTAGTACTGGATCACCAGCTTGCACTGCCACCACTCCCAGCTTTGTCTCTCTCTTCTCACCTTTGCGGGTTTTCTCCTTCTTTTTGGTTGACATTTTCCGTTTTTTGACTGCGACCGCAACATTTTCTGTGCCAGCGTCATTGCCATCACCTCTATCAGTACCATCACCACCACCACCCTCACCTCCTCCTCCAAACCACATTTCCACATCATCTTGACGTGATTCTGCAGCAGTAGTAGAAAGAGAAAGTAGAAAAAAATCAGCAACAGCAGCAGAAGTAGCAGGAAGGAGAAACTAAAATTACAGCAGTGGAAACACGCAGAAGCAAAAGCATTTTCATTAACAGCAGCAACAGCAATTTCATCAGTAGCAGCAAAGGCAGCACCAGTCACATCAGCAGTAGTAGCAGTGCGCTGGATCGCAGGCATTGAGATAAGTTGTAGAGGTGGCTCACCTTTCATCTGCGCCATCTTCCTCTTCCTCCGCTTCTTCCTCTTCTTGCCGTGACCCTTTTGCTGTGAAGACGATGTCTTTATTATCTTCTTCATCATCTTCATCGTGTTGGAGGAGGTGGAGGAGGAGATGGAGGTAGTGGCAGGGGTGGTGAAACGGAGGCCATTGATGAGGTGGGAACTTAACGAGGCACAGGGACCTTCAACTCCACCACTAGAAACTCCATCTTCAAGTCCATCAATATCACCACTGCTTCCCCAATCGCCTCCGCCACTTAGCCGACCATCAAGATGACAACCACCAACTCCACTATGAACGACACCACCACAAATACCAACTACGTCAATGTTACCACCACCACTAACTTCACTACCACAATCACCACAGCCACGACCAACTCCTTCAGTGGCATTACTACCTCTATCAGCAACTCCACTACCACCACTACAAGGAGTGCGGCCACAATCACCACCACCCTTCTCCAGACACCACTCTTTCTTGACGCCAGCCTTCACACCCGGAGATGCATCGGCCGACACAGCTGCATTAGCTGACAATGCCGCCCCTGGGCTGGTAGAGAATGCATCTGCTTTGGCTGAGCCGAAGCCGGATGTGGCTGAATGGCGTCGCACGTGGATGGCAGGAGGTGGGTAGGCGGGCGGACCCAGGGGAGCCTGTGGGAGGCAGTACAAGTAGGTTGCTTTATAAGATGGGATCAAGTGTGTGTAATGATGATGATGCTGTTGCTGATGATATTAATGATGCCAATTAGGATGTTAGTTATGATGATTATGGTTATATTTTTACTATTGGTGCTGCTGATGATCATAATGATAATACAACTTCTTATGCTACTTCTACTGTTGCATTCTTGACATTCTTACTATTGTCACTCATGACCCTTGATCCATTGGGGTGAAAGGTCACCTGTTTGTAGACACGGAAGTCGAGGCCGCAGAACTGTGGGAAGTGGATGTAGCAGAAGTCATGGGCGTCGTATCCCAAGACCACCTCGCGGCACTCATGGATGGGTTGAGCTAGCACAGCCGCCTGCACCGAGCGCTCAGTTTCAAACACGTGCTCGCACAGGCCCTATGGGGGGGGGAGGAGGGGTGGGCAGAGGGAGAAATGGAGCGACGAGAGGGGAGGAGAGTGGGGAGATAAATGGAGGTGAAAGAAGGATGGAATAGCAAGATAGTGGAGGAAAATGAGTAGAGGGGTGGGAAGAGGAATAGGCTTGTCAAATACCTTTGCCAGACCACACATGAACACACAAATCAGTCAATTTTGTCACTGAAAGAGGCGCTCACAGTACCATAAGTGATTAACCGCAATAAAATAACACAACGTTGCCAGGTCAAAAATATTCCCCTCCAATACCCGATTAGTGGGGCGAAGATGCCTGGAGTGATGTGTAAACAACACCTGTGGCTCATTTCAAAGCAGTAGGCTTCACGTGCCTGTGGGCCATATGCAACAGGCCGTGTTTGGGCCAAAGTAGCCATAGGCCTCGCTGTACATGGCCAGGCCGTGCGTGCGCTCTCTCTCCCTGCCACGCACCTTGAGCAGCCAGACACGCTGGGCAAGCGGCAGCTGGTGGAAGGACCGGCTCTCAAGCGGGCTCGACTCCCCGAGCACCGCGAAGAGCTGCGGGGGCAGCCCCAGCGCCCGTGCGCGCAGAGCGGCGCAGGGGGCGGCGCCGACGTCGGCGTACCACGCGCGTACACGCTCGCGCAGACGCCGCTCCCACACCGCGTAGCTCATGCTGCGCCCAACGCCAGCACCGCTGCCCGTGCTGTTTCCTCCTCCTGGAGCTGTGCACGGTAGGGGTGAGCAGGGATGCATGGGGGAAAAGGGAGGGTAGGAGACGACAATGTTGAAAAAGAGGCAAAGTGGAAGAGATTATAAGTGTTGGGGAGGTATGATAGTACATGGTTGAAAGCAAGGGTAAAACAATGAGAAAAAGCCAAGGGAAGCATAGTTGAAACATGAGAGATGCGTATGGGAAGCACATGGAAGACATGTCATAACACTCACCACTGTCACTCAAAGCACTCACCAACATAAAACTCGAAAACCACCATCACTCACCACCACACAGTGGTGTAGTGTGGTTGGTATGAGCTATGGTGCAAGGAATGACATTGGATCCGCACCTCTATTCAATTTCCCCCCCACTTCATAGCCTGGTGCCTGGGCTCCTCCGGTCAGTGGGCCCCCTCAGTGCAGCTGTACCACCTGCACGTCCAATACCTACGCGACCATCCCCCACCTCGCTCACCGTGTCTGTGCCTTCTGTGCGGCGGAAGCAGCAGCGCCGTCATGATGCGTGCGAGGAAGGAGCTGGCACGGGGCATGAGCAGGCAGCGCTCGAGCTCGTAGAATGCCAACTCCGGGAGCCCAAGCGCTGACTGTGCCAGGCAAAGGAAATGGCCCACAGCCGGCAGCTCCCACAATTCCTCAGGAACGAGGGGGGCGGCCGTGGAGAAGAGGGCGTGCTCCCACTCCTCGGCGTGGCGGAGGCTGGCCTCCTCCGCCTCACGACGCTCCTGATCACGCACACTGCACAAGCAAGAAGGGAAGGAGAGATGACTCATTATAATCAAGTTAGTTCTGTAGGATTACTTTATAATGATTGTAGTTACTGTGGGATAAGAGTAGTGGAGGTTCTCTTCCTTCAACTTATGATGCTCCTACTCACGCAAGCTGCAAGGGGGGAGAAAGGGATTATTTTTCCTGAAGAATTACTTTATAATACATAGTTCTTGTAAGAATACTATTTAAAATCCTACAGTAATTGCAATCGTACTGGAAAATAAATTATTTAAGATTATTAATTTATATTTTTTTATTTATATTGTAAGTTGATGGTCTCAATTTGGGTTTAAAAAAAACACAATTATACAAAAACATTTAAGTTAATCTGGCTAATTCGACAGCTGGGAATTAACTGCATTTCACTGGCATGCGGTTGCCACATATGAAAAGCAATCATAAGTTGTGCTCAGAGTGTGACATCTTTCAGGGCAGTTCTTCGGAACGATGTCACGCTGCTCATTGTGAATGCCAAATTGAGGTGTAATCGTGTCAGGACAACACGATGACATGACCATCAGCGCAAGGGGAGTGTGTCAATGTGCAGCCCTTTGAACAATATATGAGGGCCTCCCCACACCGTGTGGGTCCTGGGGGTTATCTGACCAAACTTTACAATGCTGTCAAGTATGGTGAGCTCAACAATACATCATAACTGCCATCTACTGACCACCATGTAGCTCGGTGACAGCGTATGAAACCTGTTATATGCATGGTGGCCACCAATCCAAGCACCATCCAGATTCAAATCTGCTTAACTCCTGAGATCTGAGATGAGATGCATTTTGGGTCATTTGGTTAAAGGCAAGTGGAATATAATGGGGGCGAGGAAATGACTTAAAAAATAACATTTTCAGTTTCCGCTTTGTGTTTGCTATCTTGGTGAGATGGTCACCGTCTCTCGTCCCGTGCCTTCTGCTGCTCCTCGGCTCTGATTGCCGTCAACATGGCTGACTCTCCTGCAGAGGCGGTGGGAGACGAAGAGTAGGCAGAGCGCGCTGTGGCTCGCCGGCGCGACGATACCAGGCCCGGCGAGCGGTCATCGTCATTGCCATAGCGACCGTGTGTGGTGGCGTACAGCGAGGTCTGTTCTCGGAGGGGCCTGGAGGGGGGAAAATACAAGTAAATGCATGTTAATAATAAAGGGGGGCGCAGCGGCACAATGATTATCGCAAAACTACGCTATGAACCCGGCGTCCTGAGTTTGATTCCCGGCCATGGCGAATGTCAGTGGCGAGTGATATCTTATCTAAGAGGCCTCACCTTCACCAATATGCATTGACCAGTCAGATAACCTTCTGAAAAAGTTATGAAACTCAAGTGAGGCATTCCTGTATGTCAGATCACAGAGGCAACAGAGAAGCTGGAGAGACCTTCCACTGAGCAAAGGTTAACTGGGAGCTTTAATAAAAGCTTTGGTTGCTGGAGCAGACTGCACATGAAGGGCAGTGGATGAATTTGAGAGAGGTGAGGTGGGAAACTTTGGAAAATCCACATGTACACCGCTGTTGTCAATCCACAGATTAATGAGGACTTCTCCATACCATGTGGGTTGAGGTTTCATCATACTTCATATTGATTAGTATGGATTCACGATATATTATGCTGCACTGCCCTCTGCTGCTAGCAAAAATAAAAACAAGTTTCCAGTGACCAGTCACAATAGAAATGCATTGGGTTTGTGCTTGCTACATGCAGTGATTGATAAATTGACTTAACATATTTTTACTTAACATGCATTCATGAGCATTAACATGCATTCATGAGCAAAATAAAATGTGAGATGAGCCTGGGCACTTCCCTTACACTGCCTTGCTTTCATGATAAATTACAAACCAATTTAGAAATCCATTAGCTTAAAAAAGTGATTGTTGTTGTCAATGTATTTTGTTTTATATGATTGACATGTACTGGATATATACTCTTGTATACTGTACATATAATCACCCTCATTAAACAGGGCGATCCATTCATGGAAGCCACACTAAAATAATAGGGGAGAAATTATCGAGAAAACATTTTATTACAAAGTCTTTGCATGTCTCTCACCAATCTCAATACCTGTAAATGTATTATGTAAAGCCTCCTCTGCAAGATATGGAGCTGTGGATTTTTCATTAATCAATAAATTGTTAAGAGGGTCATTCGAAATGTGTCGTCTATAATTAAATCGCACACACATATCCACAACGTAACGTAATCACACTTACTACACTAAAAGAGTGTAACGATTCATATATATAGATTACGTGCAGGATAAATACATCGAATAGTGAATGCGATAATTTGATGTTAGGGTGATCAAAATATTCGGAAATATATTAAATAGGCGTCGGTTAATGGTGGAAAAAAGGAAACATTGAATATCAATGAGACAGCAATACGAACGAGCCTTAAAAAAATATCAAATATAAGTATCATCGGAATGGGAAAGGGTTAATCCGAATTGTAGCAACCGACGTGACGTCGTCGCAGCGCTTGTACCAGGCTAGGTGCTTAATTCACCTTTATAAAAGTAAGAGCATATTATTCGCCGATTACAGGCATGCATCGATAACCATCGAATATAGCATGGTATTTTATGCATTCATAACGATCTTCATTCATCATTACAGTTCTACATTTGAAATCGATGCACCCATAATATACAGAAACGTAACGACACAAACGTTTACCAAATCGCCATCGCCACAATGTTCCGATGACGTTACACGGCATAATAAGTGATGTAACGATGCTTCCAATATGAAGAACGATTACTCTTTGACTTTACCGAAAGACCCAAAGAGTATGAATTCTTGCAGTCACGAAAGCTTTAAGTCAAGATGAAAAACGATTCGTACACATTCAGTGAACACAGCAATACAAATCTGCAGTACTCCTCCACATTCCCACGACACAACACAGGGTCTATAGGTCATACATACACGCATCGCTCTCAAACCCATACACACATCTCACACAAAGTTGTAAGTTCCCGTGACGGCAATTCCACATTCCCATGACGGGTCGCAGGCCGCTCACACACGTCACAGGATATACGTTCATCTTAAACAATATCCCACAATTATTTCGCACGTACACACCAACCCTCACTCGCAACTTATCACACACACAATGTCATTTCCCAGATTAAACCTCCATATTTGCATGACAGGTCCCAGTCCATCCACTCACCCGTGGCCACTAACACACAACAACAACATCATCATCATCATCACCACTGACCTGGAGAGCAACGCGAGCTTCTGCTCCAGGATGAGCTCCATGCGCTGAGCGCGTTTACTGAGCCAGTGGTCCACGCCGCGTGCGCGGTAACAAGTCTCCACCACGAGACGCAGGTCCGACACCACCTCGGCCAGGGTCGCGTACCGGCCCCGCGTGAACCTCTCCCGCATGGCGCCCAGGCAAACGGGGGGGCCCGCAGCGGCCTGTTTCCCCGCCGCGTACTCCGGCCCCAAGAAGTGCGATCCCACCGCCTTGTACCGCTCCGTGGTGAAGTCCTGCAGCAAGCGGTAGCCCAGCTGCAGCTCGTGGCTGAGACCCTGGATCTGCGTGTCCGCTTTGGTTGGGGAGGTTGTTGATGATTTGTTGGCGCCGCTGTTGTCGAAGGACCGAAGACGAGGCCTACCCGGTCTGCAAAGCCTCGTGCTCGCCTGGATCGCCTGCCGTGGGGAGGGCGACCTATCCAGGCGGCGCGACCAGGCCGGATCGGCCCCCTCGGCGACGGGATCCGGCGAGGCGGGATTTTCGCTCATTTTGTTCGGAAATTGCAGTATATTGTTCGCATGAATGGTTGTCGCGCGGATCCTTGTTGGTTTGCTGAGGTTTTGGATGTAATTCGGGCTGTAGTTGAGGCGAAATGCAGTGAAGTTTCCGCGGGAGAAGTTGCAGCCGCCGGTGTTGTTTTGCGAAAGGTTTCAAAGGGGGGAACTCAGCTCTGGCACAGACCCCATTGCCAACTCGGAGATAATTAAACAGACCGCGATTGCATTTTAAATGCGCATTGTAATTCGTCCGCCTCTGATTTTTTTCGTCACGTATTTGCGTTTAATGTTTTAAATACATTTTTGTTGCTTTAACTCGCACCAAGCACGTCAAGCGAGGGTGGGGGGCGATGTGCGTGCGTTTCAGGCGGCCATTTTGCTACGGGGTGAGTCCGTTAACCCCCCCGCCCCCTCCCCCCCTCCCGTGTGGGTGACTTTGACTGTGACGTCACGCAACTTTCAACGTTGACCCCCCCCCCCTTCCGTATTCTTTGGTTCTTTCGGTTAAAATCGCGTCGATAGAAAAATAATAAAGTTAATAAAAATAATACAAATAAAATAAAAGTAATACAAAAAAAAACACTAATGTAGACTGTAGCCCGGTTCCCAATCGGAGTGAGTGTACTGGCAGTCTACAATGTCGACTGTAGCAATGGTTACCAAGTTTGGTGAGTGTACTGGCAGTCTATAATGTAGACTGTAGTAATGGTTACTAAGCTGGGTGAGTGTACTGGCAGTATATAATGTAGACTGTAGCAATGGTTACTAAGCTGGGTGAGTGTACTGGCAGTCTACAATGTAGACTGTAGCAATGGTTACCAAGTTTGGTGAGTGTACTGGCAGTCTTTAATGTAGACTGTAGCAATCGTTACTAAGCTGGGTGAGAAAGACAAGCAACTAATGTTAATGTAGGAGAAAGACAAGCAACTACACCAATCAAAGGGCCGCCAGGCAATCATTGCACCTTGTTTCACACACCTACACTGCTGACGGTGGAGGTTGACAAGAAAACACAAATCAAATCATGACCCAAAGTGGTTGATGACATCTTTCCAATGATTGCTGAGTTTACAACCATCCTCTAGGTTGAAATTGTGTCTGTATATATGGATGGCTTCATGAACGAATCTTTGTTGATAGCCAGTAGGCTTGCAAAGTACCATCGTCTTAGACTCTTAGAGAAATACATTTCGTGTGAACCAGCCGCATTAAAATAATAATCAGCCACGGCAGAAGTATTGGTCCTACCGTGTTTCAAATCTGCCTTATGCTCATGTCTCGACATGTCGCTTAGTTTCCCCAATGTAACTGCTGCCGCAGATACAGCTTAGTTTGTAGACGCCGGGGTATTGCATGTCAGGAATCTTGTCAACATTATAGACTGCCAGTACACTCACCGAAGTTAAGAACCAGGCTACAGTCTACATTGTAGACTGACAGTACACTCACCAAGCTTAGTAACCAGGCTGCAGTCTACATTGTAGACTGACAGTACACTCACCAAACTTGGTAACCAGGCTGCAGTCTACATTATAGACTGACAGTACACTCACCAAACTTGGTAACCAGGCTGCAGTCTACATTATAGACTGCCAGTACACTCACCAAACTTGGTAACCAGGCTGCAGTCTACATTATAGACTGCCAGTACACTCACCAAACTTGGTAACCAGGCTACAGTCTACATTGTAGACTGCCAGTACACTCACTCAGCTTAGTAACCATTGCTACAGTCTACATTGTAGACTGCCAGTACACTCACTCAGCTTAGTAACCATTGCTACAGTCTACATTGTAGACTACCCGTACACTCACTCATTAGTAACCATTGCAACAGACTACATTGTAGACTGCCAGTACACTCACTCAGCTTAGTAACCATTGCTACAGTCTACATTGTAGACTGCCAGTACACTCACTCAGATTGGGAACCGGGCTACAGTCTACGTAAGTTTTTCGTTTATTATTATTTTATTTACCTGATTATTTTATTTACCGAAAGAACCAAAGAATATGAATTCCTGCAGTCACGAAAGTTTTAAGTCAAAACTCCCCCCATCCGACAGATGGTCGTGTGATGATGCACGCCTTTTGGAAGTGGTGGGGGAACGGGTGACGTCTTCGCGTTGTTAATTCGGCCCGCCACTGAGCCGCCGCTGGTGACGTCATTCTCCTGCGGGTGACGTCCGGTGGGGAGGAGGATCGGATGACGTCATCGCGTTGTTAATTCGGCCCGCCACTGAGCCGCCGCCGGTGACGTCATTCTCCTGCGGGTGACGTCATTCTCCTGCGGGTGACGTCCGGTGGGGAGGAGGATCGGATGACGTCATCGCGTTGTTAATTCTGCCCGCCACGTTGGGCGAGGGGCCACCACCAAGACGCCGCCGTTGTTGTTGCAGCAGCGAAATCGGCGTGCGGTTGAAATCACACTTTTACGTAAATGGTTTAGACGCATTTTGTCAGTAACGTCAGCTTCTGTGAACAGTGTGGCTATGAAAATAGGCAGTTGCCCCCCCCCCCACGTTTCCTTTTGAATGCCATGTCATTGACGAACTTGCCATGTTGTTGCCTCTGGGTTCAGAAGCCCCCTTGCCAACAAGGGCCCTCTAGCATCAGGGCAACGCTCGTCACCTTAGAGATGTAGCAACGTGTATGGGAGAGTGCCCTATTAATCTAAAGGCATACACGGTCACAACCGTGATAATTGGTTTTTTAGCCTTTATTCTGGCGTCATCTGGTCCAACACCATGTAAAACTAGGCTCTAAAGAAAGCGGTCTCGGATGTGGACCAATCAATTTCAAGGACAGTGCATACATTATCAGAGTTATGTTTTTTGTTTGCATTCCGACTGCAGGTATTGTGGTCAATGCAAACATGACTCTTGTAAAAAAAAGGTGTCAGTTTTGTTGCCAGATAAAAGGGTAGAAAAACAATTAGCATATTTTGCTACTGGCAAATGAGGTTCCAATGGTCACAACCGTGTCAACCCACGTGGTTTACCCGTATTCTTGTACAGGGGAATTGAGTTTTCAGGTTCACGAGGCATACAGCGGTTTAATAAATACGGGCATTTTTTTTTTTAACTTTGTTTCTCCCATGTTGAGATTTTGTAGGATGAACGCTAAGATGTAAAAGGGCACAGGGTGACCAATGAGGTTTGAATTGCTCTGTAATAAGGTAGGCACTAAGGGACTGACCAGTACGTTCGTGTATTACTTAAAATGCATGTGGATTTATCGATACCGTTTGACTGTCGAAAGGTTTGTTACGCACTGTTACATAACTGTAGCCAAATAAAAATCTTTATCTGATCAGGAAACAATTTTTAAATGTAATGCTCATTAGCCTCCCCCCCTAGTCTCCAGCGCTATCCATGTGATTTGAAAGGCTCATTGCCCGAAACGTCGCCAATTATATATTTATGTTAATTAATTGATATGAAGTTTTTTTTTTAACGTATTTTTTAAACAGAAATTTCCATGTTGTGGTCAGCAGAGGGCAGTGCAGCAGTCAAATATTGTCATACGTTCCCACGTCTCTTTAAACTTTGCAGATTTAAAGGTGTCATATTCATGTAATATAACAAGTGCCATTGCCTCAAATATCTGACGAGTATTGCTTTTTCACAATAAATCAGGTTGATAGGCCCTCAACTTTGTGATATAACGGATGTTAAGGCAAATATATTCTCAATGGGTCCTCAGTTAAAGGACATCGATCACAAGATAATATCAATGATCCCTGACCAGGTTAAATAAAATAAAAATATATCAATGGGCTCCACACGGTTATATAAAGGACGCCTGTCACAATTTTGTTTTATTGTGTTAACGGCAAAATATGAATTCCCACAGTTTCATACAGGAAAGGCAGCGTTGACAGCATGTGCAAATTACTGCAACAAATACATTACTGCCCACTTTTGACAAACTGTCCACGAAATTGTACCCGTCCAGTGCCTCATTTCGAGGATATCTTCGTGTAATCGGTCATTGTCACAGCACAACTGAATCCTACACCTTGATTGCCAACTCATTTTGTGCAACAATCTTTACTTTAGAAGCAAAAATTAGGCTACCAAATGAACTCGTTCGGCCGCGACACACCCGGTGGTTTCAGAAAGGTGGTTTTCTAAAACGTTGATCAAAATCGGGATTTTGTCCCAACTTTTAAAAAGTTCAAGGCTTCATGCATAACTATGAAGATACAGGCAAAGGGATGGGGTCACCGAAGTAGTGGCGATGTTAAAGTGGGTGGTGTTGCCAGCTTATATGGTTAGAATGAGCTTCCCAAAAAATTGGTAACCATTGTTGAAAAGCATTAATGTAGGCAGATATTGTAAAGTATATTGTGACTATTGTGACTTTGCGGACAGTCTTTAGAGCATGAGGTAAATTAGAATATAAATGACCACTGTAGAGACACAACCCAAACAAATTTCTTCTCAAGTAGCCTCACACCCACACTGTGTCTCAGACTGTCACACACGGGGGAAGCTTTGTAGAGATAGTCATTAAACAATACGTTAGTCAACATAGCAATGCGAAACGAGTGAAATAACCGTGGCATTACTTGCTTAGTGTTTTTCATACACTGCAAATCAGTGACAAATACGAGTGCTATGATGAAGAAAAATAGAACAGGATATTTGTACTGTCAGAGGACAAAGACTGATTGTTTTGGATGACTGGCCTTCTTCAGGAATTGCTGAGTCTTCGGACTAGATTTGTGTGTTTATACGAGTTTAGTGGTGAGATATTAACTACCTCTCCTGGTATATAGGAGGTCGTCGGCTCGATCCTGACGCCTGTATATTGGAGGTGGATTTTTCTCCGGGTCCTCCGGTTTTTCCCTCCACATTTTCAAACATATGTTTTGAGTTTTTGGCTGTTATAAATTTGAACGGAATTCACTTCTCATTGAGCTATCATTTTTGGGCAGGTCGCTTCTGAAAAAAAGCTATATAGCTCAGTGGGTCTTACCTGGTAAAATAACAATAGTTTATAGTTTAGTCTTTAACATACTGCATTAATAGTCCTAGATCCCGGATCTCTCTCATAATTTAAAATTACTTACAGCTCAGATTGCAGTTAGACTGTACCTGTACCTAACCCGTTCGCTGTTACGTTTCACATGTGTTGTTTTATTTGCTCAATCGATTTTGTTTCACCTCGCTGATATTTCCTTTCAAATAATTTATTATATCATCCTTGTTTTTGGTGCAATGCTTCTATTTTCTGTGCAATATGCCTGTTTATTTTAACATAATTGTTCTTTGGGCACGATTTTTGCCCCTAGCTCTTCTGCCGTGACATATTCCTCTAAGTTTAGCTTTGTTGTTTTTCATGTTCTGTGCTGATGCACCACATATCTGCCTTGCAAACTATCTGGGTAACTGGCTAAATAAGACCTTCCATGTGATAAACAAACCGATTGATTGAAGGTCCACTCGCCCTTAAATTGAGTACTGTGTGCAATGGGTAAACATCAACACTTAACAAAGGTGGCCAGGCAGTGGTGCTGGCCATACCCGTGCTCGTGTCACTGAAGCAGCATAAACATAACTCTCATGGAAAGCAACTCCAATAAAACATCAGCAGTTAAACTACATGCTGAAATATTTTTTTAAAACATATTTACAAAGTTTAAAGTTAACAACCAAAATACAAACCAACGAACATTTACTCTTCCCAAATTCGCTCTCCTCTCCCCTCTCTTATCTATCCATAAAAATGATTTTGGGTTAGATTGCATAAATATGAATTCCATTAAACCCGACAGCCAATTAGTAAGGTTTGTCCCATAAAAAAACATGCTCATTAATTGGAGATTAAACCCACATTATTATGGATAATATTGATTGCGAAAGCATACGTGTTAAACTGTCATCTATCCCTACTCTGCCTTTCTCCCGTCTCCTCCTCTGTCCCTCCCACTCCCTCCCGCCTTCCCCAGCCCCCTCTGTCCAGGCTATTCACCAGGCTTCTTGGAAGATTCTAAAGAAAAATGTTCACGGGCGAACGTCTCGGCCACAAGGAGAGGGAACACGAGGGAAGCATCCGCATAAACCTACACACACACATACAACACAAACAGAAACACACGAAGATATATTTACACACAATCATACAAGTGCTGTGAGCAAGCACCAGATAATGTCGGCATAGCACAGGACAGGGTGATGTTAAATTCAAGTAAACAAAGATGCAGGATTACAATTAGTATGAATTTGTAGAGCATCTAAATGCTGCTACATATACATAATTATGTACTTACACACAGTCCCAGTTTGCTCCATGAAGCTTAGGCATGAACACTGAATCCTAGGGGAGTGATATTCTGACTATGAACGCTAAGGAAACTTGAGTCTGGCTCTATCAATTATAAGGGAATCTTGGTTGTACTCTCAAAGCCTCAAGCACTAACACTTAGGCATAGAGGAGCCTTAGTTTGGCTCTATGAGCCTAAGTTATTAACACCCCCCCCCCCCCCAGGGAGCCTTAGTTTGGCCATATGTATCATAGAGCTACAATCATTACCACTGACCACTGGGGCAGTAATTTAACACCGACCCCTAGGGCAGTCTTAGTGTGGCTCTGCGAGCACCTTGACGGGCTTGGCAGTGATGCTGATCTTGCCCCAGGATACAGCTTCATCGGGTCTGGCCCCCGAGTCGGAGCCGTCAAACTCCTGGGCGGTGTTGATGTTCACTGAGAAGTTGGCACCGTTCCTCTGTGATGGTGGGAACCAGTGTCATGGGGATCAGAGACACGTCAAAACTGATGGAAATCATGGCGGTAATCTGTCAGGTGATCAAGGAATCAACAGAGTTGGCGATCAAAGAAATCAAGCAACCGGGGGAAGAGGTGATCAAGAAATTGACGAATCGTAGTGGTCAATTGATAAATCCAAGATGTCAATAGATTCAGCAACACAGGATATGAAGCAGTCGGTGAGATCAGCAAATCAATTAGGGTTACAAACGAGAAATTTGTTTAACTGTGAAGCTTCACACTCATGTGGAACAGCATCGATCACTCAGCATAGACATAGCTAGTGGAAAAGAGCAGTTTGTTTTTTATTCTGTATCTTCATTTACGAGCAACATTGTGGATTCTCACCATAAGATTTGCATTGCAAATATGGTGTTTGATTACACCACCTCCGAGAATAATCATCCCTGTGTTCTTCGCATGCACAGCATGGTTGTTCATCAATCTGATGTCTGCAACAACAGCAGTATCAGCACATCATCAGTAGCTGTATCATAATTTTTTCAGCATCATCAACAAAGCAGGTGGAGCATGATAATTATCAGAAAGGGCAGTAATATCAGCAGCAGCAATAGCATAATCATGATTATCATAATCACAAGCATCATTAGCAGCAGCTGTCATTTGCTAAAGAGTGGTGGTGGTAAGTCACAAGATATGAGCTGTCTTTCAGAGAGTAAAAATTGGCCATTAGAAACACTACGCCTGGGTTTGTGGCCTGGGTGTGGTGCTTACCTTCAATGACGTCCAAAATTAGGCCTGGGTTGCGGTATGAGTGGAAGTAGAGCATGTCTCCCAAGGAGCCGTCTGTAATTGCTGGGCTAAAGATTTGGATGTTGTTCTATAAACAACAACAAAACAAAGATCCCCATATAGACTTATAAGGCGTATTAACAATAACGGGATGTAATTAATTATGAATTCAATAACAAAAATTTCATATGATTACAATGCATGCATGGAATTGTACTTGTGATAATCGATAATGTAAGATGAAATGATGATGTTGCATGGCAGTGATTTTATCCATTACTGGGAATCGAACCCACGTCACCATGTTCATAGCTCAGAGTGAATAAATAAGTGGGTAAGTAGGTAGGTGAGTCGGTGTCGGTCAATGTGGATTAGCAAGTGAGAGAGTCTGCAAGTGGACAGGATTGTGTAATTGAGTTGTTGAGTGGCGAGTGAGTGGGTGTGCGAATGGGTGAGTGTGGGTGTGCAAGAAGACAAGCAAAACTGGTTAAAGATTGTGTTGTCCACCTTGTAAGCCCAATAGCACACAGAATCCGGGTTGTCAATCTCCTTCCCCAGACGAGCGATCATCTTAGATGGAGTCCACTTCATGTTCTGAGGGTGGAAAGTTGACCTTCATTAAGTCTCATTGATTAATGCCTTCACTCATTTTCGTTGTAATCATTTTGGTAATGATGATGACGGAGCCGCTGCTGATAATATGATGCATCTGCTGCAGCTGATGATAAGAATGACTGTTGCTGATGTTACTGCTGCTGTCGATGCTGATGAGCCATCACAAGTCCTACCTGAGTCGTTTGCTCCAACAACATTTGATCCAATATGGGCATCACCCAGTCCTCGAACAGACAGTAGTTATTGTTGGGTACAAGGAGATTGCCAGTTCTGGTGACACAGCATCCAAAATTCATACATATTAGGAAATTACTCAATTTGAATATGCATAGCAATCAACCTCCTGCTTCTAAATCTTGGCAAGACCCTCCACTGAGTCATGAGACTTAATAATAAGATATAAGCACGTACACATTTACACGGTATGCATACATAAACATGTAAAGGTTGCAAAAATGCATTAGCATGAACAAGCTTATAGTAAGTGAAAAAACTGCAAGTCCACAATACAAAACAGGATGGAGTGGTGATGCAAATTTTCTTTAAATAAAAAATTAAGAGAAGGCATGTAATGATGAATTCCTTCCAGGATTAAAATTTGTTCTTATGCTCATGACACATGCATCAAATTGTGCTCGTGAGATTCGATAATGTAATATTTCCGAATATTATGCGTGATTACATTTAGGCTATTGAGTGAACCAAGCTGAACAAATGAGATGGATAAAATGAGCAACAATGCCAACGAGATGGTACAAATGATCTCGACAACACAGTGACTGAAATCAGTGGAGGTTAGAGGAATCATTACATGCAGACTACACACAACACAAAATACATTCCCTGAGGCAAGAGCAGTTAGCGCGCACCGATTAAGGCAAGAATGGCACATAAGGAGATGATGTGGTTGAGACCACCACCTTTGTGTACTCAGTGACAATGTTTGCACACACTCGGTACTTGAGGAAGAACAGGACTGATTCTATTGTCACTCGCCACTGATGTGAGCCATGGCCGGGAATAACTCAGGCTACCGGGTTCATAGCGCAATGCGGTAACCAATACTGTGCCAGCACTACTCCTGCCTACCACACAAAGACAATCACATGTAGCGTATATGCATGTACATTCTGCAAGGTTAAATATGTATCTACTGACCCCATTATCTCTCACCTGTTGATCCCCTTTAGACGAAGGTCCTTGCCCTTGAGTGCGAAGTCCCCCACGAAGGTGTGAGCCATGCACTTAATGAGGTCCTCCTCTACTCCACCCGCCGTCGTCACAATCACGTCCACCTACATCATAAACATCCTCGTGATTGCCACCAATAGTACCATCACCAACTCCAACACAACCACCATTATTAATCATCAACGTCATCACCAACAGCATATCTTCCACCACCATATCACTCATCCTTATTACCAACAGCATCATCACCTACTCCATCACCACAACCACCATTGCCACTGTCACAACTATCACTACTATAATAAACACCAACATCACCTCTACCACCACTCACCATGCTGTGCTGCACCAAGAATTTCAGGGACTCCCGCACTCCACATGAGATCATGTTGGAAGTGTATCCGAGGAAGATGGTGCAATTTTTGAGAGGTTTCTCATCAGATGATTCCGAGGCCTTCACCACCAACCCATCGCCATCACTATCTTGATCCACAGGGATAGGCTCTTTGCGTTTGGCGATCTGAGACAATACATGTATGTAAACAAGACGTGCATTGATTAAAAGAATAATAAATAACACTGTGTAACAAAAGTATTTTTTGCTATTATTCCCCACAAACTTTGCTTTTGTGACCAGGACAGTGATATTTTGAAATTTACCTATTTTACAGAACATTCCAGATAGATTCAGACCTTCCTTCATCCATCGCCCCGGTGCCACACTGCCATGAGCTCCCCGTACCCACTCCTCCGGAGAGACAGCAGCCGTCTTTAGAAGAGAGCGAGGAAGATGTTGTAGATCCAGATGACAATTTCGGAGGTGGAGCTGAGGAGAGAAACCCATACTACCCCAACCAAAAAGACCTCAACGACTTGATCAGAGATCTTGGTCTCACCAAGTCCAATGCCGAGCTCTTGACGTCTAGACTCAAGCAGTGGAACTTGTTGGATGAAAGTGTGCAGGTCGCAGACCAGAGGAAGCGTCACCAACCTTTTGGCAGCTTCTTCACCCGTCAAGATGGGCTCTGCTTCTGCCACAATGTGACCAGTCTGTTCGAGGAAATCGGAATCGCCTGTAACCAGAATGAGTGGCGCCTCTTCATTGACAGCTCATCCAGGAGCCTCAAATCCGTGCTGCTCCATAATGGTAACAAGTACCCCTGGCTCACTCGGTGTACCTCAGAGGATTAGAACAGCATCAAGACCTTGCTGGATGCCTTTAAGTATGATGAGTATGTCTGGGTCATCGGAGACTTAAAAATGGTGGCATTCCTGATGGGTCTCCAAGGCGGTTTTACCAAGTTTCCCTGCTACCTTTGCCTTTGGGACAGCAGGGACATCAAGGTGCACTACCACAGGCGGGACTGGCCACAGCGGACCGAGTTGATGCCACCACTGCACATCAAATTGGGTCTTATGAAACAATTTGTCAGAGCTGTAGATAAGGCTTCAAGTACCTTCAAGACTTCTTCCCTAAGCTGAGGCAAAGGTCAAAGCCAGTGTCTTCGTCGGACTACAGATAAAAAAGATCCTGGAGTGCAATGAATTCCGCAAGAAGCTAACCAGTAAGGAGAAAGCGGCTTGGAACAGCTTTGTTGCAGTGGTTCGTGGCTTCCTGGGCAATCACAAGGTCGAAAACTATGTGGAGCTGGTTGAGACACTGGTGAAGAACTAGGCTACCCTCAAAGTCCATATCCTTGATGCTCATCTTGATCAATTCAAGGAGAACATGGGAGCGTACTCGGAGGAGCAAGGCGAGCGCTTCCACCAGGATATACTGGACGTTGAACGCCGCTACCATGGACATGATGGGAGACATTTGGGGGCTGATTCGTGAAAATGATTTACAGTATAATCGTAAATCTATAAAAACTACTCACTTCTAAATATTTTGTAGTATTTTTTTATTACTTTAGCATAAATACATGTTAATTTTGATTCATATGTAGTTTTTTTCTGACTTTATGTCAACGAAAAGACACAAATTTGCCCCTTTTCTCATTGAAAATAGGTACATTTCGAAATATCACCGTCCTGGTCACAAAAGCAAAGTTTGTGGGGGAATAATAGCCGTTTTCTATACTTTTTAGGCATAAGCACTTAGGAAATAACACTTACTACCCAGGAACAAAAATTGTGTTACATAGTGGAATCCATTCTCGCATTCATGATTTTATGCACCTGTCATGTCTTGAATCACGGACGAGTAGCTATCACCTCTACACACCTATCACGAGCGTAAAAATCGATTTTACAGACATACCCTGAGATTTCTTTTCATATACAGTATTGAGGTTACTGCCATATTTAACTCATTATAACCATTAGGAATTAATGACGAGGATATAACTTAATAAAGATGGATTCAAAGTTGGTGCCAAGATTTATATGAGCAAATAAAAACTGGTGTGTGGGTTCATTTGTGGTCAAATGTATTTCGTGATAGTCAACTGTACTTTATCATGGTTATACGTACATTTACGTGTCCCTTTTGCCAATCAACCACTAGATTAATCTCCCCACACACACTATGTGGGTCGAGGGGTTTATTTGCCCGCCATATAGCCCCATAGCAGCCTACGATGATCTAGTTGCGGTCAGCCGTCAAAGCACTATCCAGCCTCAACCTCCTCAGCTTCTGAGATCCAATGACATCAGGCTCATTCGGGGTGATTAAGCTAATCATGCTCAACGCTGTTAAGTTCTTGATAACAGTGGTTAGTTTAAAATGGAGTGTGATTTATTTCAGTGGCGGTGCACAGCTCTTAGATGTGCTTTTTTCGGGTTGTTTGGCATGATGTCCGAGATTTCCCTCCACATGCTGGCAGCATTTTCAGTTCCTGAAGCGAAACGTCAGACATCATGCCAAACAACAAGGTACAACCCCAAAAAAGCACGAGAGCTACAAATGCTGCATTATTCTGTTCAACATGAGTTGTAGTTAAGTTTGGTGGTTGAGTATGTATTGCCCATGAGTGACTTGTCATCAACCATGCGGTTGGTAATTGGTAAACTGCATTTTGAGTGCAGTTTCATCCAGTCAGATGGTTATGAAATTCTGCACAACACGAGCTGTGGTTAGGTGTGGTGGTTAAGTGTGCATCGCCTATTATCAAACCATGCGGTTGACTTCCAGCACCGCCTGCCCAAACGCGGTGGCCTGGAAGCCCGTGGTCAGGAGGCTGCCGAGCAGTGCGTGGTGATCAACGCCGCCGCTGAAATCGTATCCTCGCACGCGGGGGGTGTGCGTGGGAAGATCCGTGCTGCGCACAAACAGCGCCTCATGGGCCATGTGAGGAATGGTGGTGGCCATTATGTCGTCGTCCTCGGGGAAGGTCTCGTCACCTGAGAGGGAAGAGCGCAGGGAGTTCTCAGCCACGAGCCAAAGACATGCAAGTAGGTTCCCTTGAGCTGTGTATTTCATTTTGGCAGGCTAGACCTGCAACACATTTGTATTTCACTTTACCCGCGGAGGGTTGGTGGGGAGGATGCGTGACATGAGCAGGCACACTGCGTTACGCTTCTGCATACGGGTCACATGACAGATGTGACGTCACAGCTCACTTGCCGTGCAAAATATATGCATTATTGCGCCCCCCCCCCCCAAAATACAAATGTCTATTTTTATAATTTTTGCATGGTGTAGAGTTTGGAAAGTACCCACATAGCAAATTTCAAGATTGTTGCATGTCGGAAAGTATGCTAAACATTTTGAACAGACACATTCACAAATTTCCCTTTTATATATATAACCCTGTGAGCCATGCGGCTCTTGACTCGGGTGCAACCACAACAAACAAGAAACATCTTCAAGTGACTACACGCAACAGAAAAATCCAGGAAAAAACAGCAAAGTCTTACAGAAAAAACACCGCATTTCGACGCTGTGCAAAAATCCCAGTCGGATGCAAGTCAAACAATAACCATAAGACAATTTTGATTAAAGTTATCAGGCTAACTCTGTACTACATCAAACAAACATGGCGAAACCAAAAGTTTTCAAAATCACCAAAATAAATCTATAAAGACAATGTAACAGTGATCATAGGAACTGTGATTCAAATTTAACAATAAACGATACACATAACATGTACGACCAAACTTTGCAGCCATAGCCAGTCCCTCCAGAAAAACGCGATTATGCGATCGCAAGATTCCACGCAAAATCAGCCAAAGTCCGCATATTTATGCGGGGGGCGCGTTTTTTCAAATACGCCGCACTTTAGCAGCATAAATTGCAGATTTCCGCGCGCAAAATATGCGGGCTTGCATGATTTCATAATCCCCGCATTTTCGTTGCAAAAAGTCACATATATCTTAGCAGAAAGTTGAAAAATGTTGCGTTTACTTCACACAAGCGCAGCCATTTCCCCTGTTGCCATGGGAACGTTATGAAGTGTTAGAGGCTACGTAGTTAGTTTTATTCAGGAGTTTATGCAACTTTACAGTTGTAAGATTGCACTTTTTTGTTAGTAGTATGTAAATTTACATTACTGTAAGACTGTACTGTTACTGTATTGCTTACGTTACTGTGCACTGAAAACACTTATTTTAACAGAAGATGTCTGTTTTGTATAGCTACCTCTGTAAAACAGGAAGCATACATTTTATTTTTAAATATTTTATTTATTCATTTTTACAGAAGTTGTATCATATTCATTTTGTAAAGCTACAGAACTTGTTCGACTCAATGTTTTGTAAGTTTGAGCCATCTGTTTGTTAAGGTCTGAAATAAAACAAGATGAGAACTTAAATGTTCCCAGCACTTTCTGTGATGTAGTATGCTTGCTTATCATAGGAAGTAATAAGAAATGACTCTTTACATTAAAGTAGTAGCCTAGTGAATAGGGTGTTGGGGGAATCACTTTGTTTTTCTCTTTTTCATCAAACCGCAAGTTTTTGCAAGTTCCCGCAATTTAATCGCATAAAATTGCATAAATATCCCGCATATTCCATCGCATTTTTTAAGAAAACGTGCCGCATAATCAACGATTTTTGCCCGCAACAATCACCAAAAAACTCCGCGTTTTTCTGGAGGGACTGCATAGCTGGCTGCATGAGTCACTCCATAACAGCAGGAGTATCAGTAGCAGTATCAACATTTTTCAATACACCTTTAAAGATCAGAACACTATAATCAAAACTCGAGATCATACTTTGCAGTGGTCATCAGGAATGATACATTTGATTTCAGGCCATTCTGAATAGCAGTGGCAGCTAGGGGTGTACAACTCCTCTAGAGCAGTTTTAAGTGAAGATCTCACAGGTAGTGATCAAAGTTGCAGTTTATTGGCGATAGCATTCCAGACCCTGGGGGCATCAATAGAAAAGGCCCTTCCTCCAGTATTTGTATGTCAATAAGGAATGTGAAGCTGGTAAATGAGCAAAGACCTTAGGTCACATTTGTTCTTCGAAACAGTAAGGAGATCCAGCAGATAGTCTGCGGATTTTTTTGTAAGTATATCGTGAATAAATAAGATCTGATGCACAAGCCGTCGATCATTAAGATAAGTTAAGTTTGACCCAATTTAGAGATCGCAGTGGTGGGCCCTATATGGGCAGTTCAATGCAAATGTTAAGGCCGAGTGATTAATAAGTCAAGTTTCTTCAGTACAGTATTGGGGGCTGATCTATATACGATGTCAGTAATCAATTAGAGGCAGTATGGTAGCTTTTATCAATTACAAGCGGGACATAGGGGGGAAGCAGTGCTTGTATCGATACAGAAACCCAAATTAAAATTTTGTCTATTTACCAATATAATCAATGCGATCTTGAAAAATCAGTTTTGAATCAATGATAACTCCAAGATACTTATAGAATTTGACTTGCTCTAGTTGATGATTATTTAAGGAATATAATTGGGGACATGATTCCTTTAAAAAGGTTTCAGTTTGGTGTTTTAACATCTTAACACCTAAATTTCGATTTAGAGCTTTCGTGACTGCAGGGATTCATATTCTTAGTTCTTTCGGTAAAGTCACGTAGAAGGGAAATAATAAAATAATAAAAATTTAAACAATAATTTCTCACGACGTTTCCATTGCAATACAAGCAATCGTCACCAGGTGTGAAAACCACAGCAAGAAAGTTTTTGAAAACATCTTTTTTAATTTTCTTGCTGTGGTTTTCACACACCTGATGATGACTGCTTGTATTGCAATCGAAACGTCGTGAGAATTTAATTGTTTTATTTTTATTATTTCCCTTCTACGTGACTTTACCGAAAGAACCAATAATATCTTAACATCTGTTTTGTTGCCAGAAAAAAGGGGAAAACCCTATTATATATTAAGGGCTCGAGAATGAAATGGGGGGTCACAAGACATCTGGACCACCCTATACACTACTGTAATGTACAGTGGGATGTAGATGGGTACGGTGTAGTGCGTGGTGTAAAGCTCACAGAAGATACATATTTCAGTCTGTGGTGTAACACAGTATAGTGTGCAAAGTGCTGTACAGTATATAGTGTAATGTGTGGCGTGTTAATGTCGTGTGGGTGTGAACGTAGTGGTGTGGGAGCGGGAGTGTAACGGTTCGGCGATCAGAGTTCGATTCCCGCTCTCAATGATCTGAACCCCTGGGGCCTCCCTGAGGTCCCACACACACAACCACCCACACACACACAACCACCCACCCAACCACCCACCCACACACACAACCACCCACCCAACCACACACACCTAACCACACACCCAACCACCCTCACACACACACAACCACCCACACACACACACCCAACCACCCTCACACCCAACCACCCACACACACACAACCACCCACACACACACAACCACCCACACACACACAACCACCCTCACACACACACAACCACCCACCCAACCACACACACACCTAACCACACACCCAACCACCCACACACAGTGGCCCGTGATGTGCCTCCACGTGTGCTCGCTCACAGCACTTGCCCCAACAGTCTGAAGTGAGTGCGCACGTGTGTAACAAGATCAGCGTGTGCGAGCGATAAACGCCCTCAACATAGCACTCATTCATACCAATAATAACCGCGATTAAAACACCCTGCAGCAACAACAACCACAACCACCAACCATCACGTGGAATGAATGGGTTGATGGGAGTCAAGTCCAACGCCACGAGGGAAATGCCTATGCACGAGTCGACTGTTACAAATACAAATCACAGAGCTCATACTACTCACAGAATCAGAGCGAACACGATAAACGAGTCTCTCGTGACCACGGCGAGTGTGTTCGACACTCACCCGCCACGAGCAGCTGCCGCGAAAGGTCCATCGCGCTCCGCCGTCGAGAGCTTTATGCGTGCGCGATGACGTCATCGAAGGGGCTTGACAATGTTGCTCTTTTTCTTTGCTACGTCACGCGGAATGCCGCGGTGCCCGGATGCGTTTGGTGCGCGATGACGTCAAACGACTGCGCTCGCGGGGTTGCAATGACGGGTGACGTCATGCGACGGCGTAATCGGGCGTCGAAGCAATCGCGAGCGCTTGCGTTTTTGGGATGGGAATCATTTGATTGAAAGCTTTCGTGACTGCAGGGATTCGTATTCTTGGTTCTTTCGGTGAAGTCACGTAGAGGGGAAATAATACAATAATAAAAATATCGTGAAAATTTTAGTGTTTTATATTTTTATTATTTTATTATTTCCCTTCTACGTGACTTTACCGAAAGAACCAAGAATATTGGGATATTTGTTTATTTATTTCTCCTGACTCAGCAGTTTCGCCTGCTGTATGATTTTTCACCTGAAGACGATTGCTTGTGTTGCGGTCGAAAGGTCGTGATTTTTATTATTTTGTTGTTATTTTTCTATCTACGTGACTTTACCGAAAGAACCAAAAAAGAAAGCTGTCTGGTGTGGACCAATCAATTTCAAGGACAATGCCAATATATTATCAGAGTTGTTTTTGTTTGCATTTTGACCACAAGCATTGTGGTTAATGCGGACATGATTCCTTGTAAAAGGTTTCAGTTTGGTGTTTTTTGACATCTTAACACCTGTTTTGTTGCCAGAAAAAAGGGGAAAACCCTATTTTCAGTATGTTTATTTATGGCTGGAGGAATCCGACGAGCTATGAAGCTTTTTGTTCACGGATCTCCAGTAAGGGGCGGGTCAGAACGTTACAACAATAAACAATGTAAAAAAAATACGCGATATGAGGGTAAAGTATAGGAAAATATACAAATACAAATTAACTATGTTTTTTTTATCTCACCAGGTAAAGTCCACTGTGGTATTAACGTAATATTCAGAAGCGACCTGGCCGCAAATTATAGCTCAACAAAGTAGTTTATCATGTGGTAATTCATAGCAGCCAAATACTCAAAACGTACATTTCTAAATATGGAGGTAAAAACCGGAGGACCCCGAGAAAATCGACGCGACCACGGGGAAAAAAACACCCCCAACTCCAAATATACAACAACAGGCGTCATTGTCGCGAATTAACTCACGACCTCCTACATACCAGGCGAGGCAGATAACATCTCGCCACCGGGGGCTAACAGCACTTGCCTCGGCAAAATAATCTAAATAAACGTATAGAGTACCAACAAACCCTGCCGTGTTCTCCAGATTATAGGGACGCTCCTGAAAGGATCAGATTCAGAATCTTGATTGAGACTGGAGGAGGAATCCGATGAGCTATAAAGCTCTTTTTCACAGATGTCCAGTTGGGTCTTGCTGACCCACCCCACATTTGTGCCCGGAATGAAGTTCTTAACATCTGGTCACACACAACACGTGCCTGTTTATAAGACACAACCCAGCTTATGCTTTAAAATAAAGGAGGGGGGGGGGGGTGTTGGCTTGTGCGTCTTATAATCTGGAGAATACGGCAATGACAAATCAACTCAAACAGCGGTGCAGTATCAGGTACCGGAGCAGCCACCCTGCCAATTCACCTGCGCTGATGGCGTGTTTTGTTAAGAGACGCGTCAATCAAAGCTAGTTCATGAGTGTCAATAATGCATGCTCGATTCATCATCATTAGCATCAGCCGTGGTCTATTGTTATATACTAACCCTTCTTCCAAAATTGAGATTAATAATATTTGATGATATTTTTATATATTATCTTTTTACTTGTTTTTTTTAATGAAGGAAACACACCAAAGCGCAGCAAACTGCAAAACACCAGGTGTTGTTAAGTAACGAACTGGAGGAGGGCTAGGATGGCAGAATTTGCAACCTTGCTTCAAGGAAAGATAAGGCCTGATGAACGGGCACATGTCACCTGTGCAGGCGGCAGAGACAGTGGGAGTGTCAGCCAGACATAGTTAAGGCAAAAAGCCCAACCATCCTGCATGGTTTTAAAGTAACGTCAAAATTCGAAATTCAACAACAGAGTAGGCTAAAGTATCGATCCTCGCGCTCGCTCAAATTGGAGACCAGGCTGCGAGCTACATCAATGAACCATTGCCCATTTGCTAATCCAATACTGAATGTTAATATTACTGAAGTCAAAACGAATTCTATGACCTCAGCACATGGGCAAATAATAGGGCAGTGTCGACTCAAAGGCAATGGAAGAAAGCAGAGGCGCCTTTGTCTAAATCACAACCACAGAAAGCCAGGAATCATCACTGATTGTGTGTTTAGGGATTCCGAGCTAGTTGGAACACGTGCACAGGGGAGGGAGCTGATTTAAACAACCCTGCACGTCTGAACGTGAGGGGGCCTTTGACCTGAAATTAAGAATAACACTCCCAGAGCAGAAGGTTGGATGGCCACAATGAGACGAGAATAAGAGTGGTGTATATCTCTCAAGGAGGCAGACCCAGCTGAACAACAAGGCTGCGGGGGTCACCAGAAGTTCGCGTTCGCCTAGTTAAGACAAAAAGCTCAATTATTCTGTATTGCTATTAAAGTAACGTTAAAGTCGGAATTTAACAACAGGGTAGGCTAAAGTTATTGATATTCACACCCACTCCAATTAAACCAGGCCACAAGTTACGCTTACTGAACCATCACCATCATTAAGTCAATATGAAATGTTATTTCCATACTTTAATACTTTCTATACAACTCGACCCGAAGCATATGACAATCAGAACCTTCCTAAGTCAAAATTGAATCGCACCCAGACAGGAGCGAATAGTCGATATAAGGTTGAAGAGGGAAGGAAATTAAGAGCACGGCGAACTGCAAACGTAAGCAAAAAGCCGGGAACGACACCAGCCCAGCAACAGCGAGTCGGGCTTCGACAGGCCATACAAGTAGAAATAATAACTCCCGGGGTCAGGGGACACAAGAAGAAGCAGGCAGACAAAAACCAGAACTGACTCCAAGGTTCAACCGCCCTCACCTACAAGGAGTGACGGAAATTAATGAGGCCTTGAGTTAACGGCGTCAGCTGGACGGCAATAACAACGGCGAGCAGAGATAGGGTGGGGCAAAGACTGCGGGGCTATGGAATGCAACTTCGTGTCAGTAAAGCCCTGACAAACAAGTTAAGTTAAAGACATCACAATACATAATATCGTACATAACATCAATGTTAACGCTATTCACCGTAAACTATATTCCGCTTATATAACCATGCAGACACCAAGGAATACGAATTCCTAGGATCAAGAAACTTACCCTTAACCTAAGATATCGGAAATAAATTAATAATAATAAGCATATGCATGAAAAGACAAAAGTAAAACTTATGGAAAAGCCAGGATAACGGGATGAATCACCACCAGGTCGAATATAAATACATAATAAAAAAAAAAACGATGTTAAACCCAGGGTCGGAGAGAAAGGGAGATCCCGGCCGTCTTTGTATCCCCGCAGCGCGGGATAGGAGTGTGTATACGCTCGGGGAAACACCTCCACTTGAGTCAAGCACCACGATGGGAAACGACAGACCTTAGGTTACATACAGAATCATAACTGTGAAATAGTAAGGGACAAATGTTAACTTAAAACTTTTTAACCATTTCTTTGTGCGCCGGGTCGGAGAGAGTGTTGCCCCTCCCTCCAGGTTGTGCAACACGAACAAAGACGCCTATGAGACGATTTGTAACGTCTGTGTTTTGGGTTCATGAAGAAGGCCAGACAAGAGATAATATTGCACCCAGACAGAGAGACGACTTCGAGGCAATTTGTAACATCTGATTGTTTGCTCGTGGGTTTTATGGAGGGAGTGTGACAACGGAATATACCGTGAGTGATGCACACAAGGACATACGGACGTACGGACACACACATGGACACACCTGCCTACGGACAGATCCTGACACAGCAAAAATCGAAAGAAGCCCCGCCTTGTGGGCGGGATCCAGGGGGATTTTTCGGCATAAAGGAAAGGATCCTGAGCATTGGAAACTAGTGCGACCAGCGGGTCGGCTCAGGAGCGAGCTCGACCGGGAGGGTCGGCTCAGGAGCGAGTGCGACCAGCGGGTCGGCTCAGGAGCGAGTGCGACGGGAGGGTCGGCTCAGGAGCGAGTGCGACCAGCGGGTCGACTCAGGAGCGAGCTCGACCGGGAGGGTCGGCTCAGGAGCGAGCTGCGACCAGCGGGTCGGCTCGACTCATCTTCAGCTCGTCTGGGACTCAGCCGAGTTCGATCGGCTTACCAAAGCCGGCTCTCGGGGCTCGACTCAAGCGGCTCCCCATCTCCTCTGCAGGCGGGCAAGACCCGCTTGACAGCTCAACTCGGCCTGCGTGGGTCAACCTCTGCCGAGTCGGAGGTCTCTGCTGCCGCCGGAGTGGTGAGGGTCGCGGTTTGGCGACGAGGCTCCGTGCACACCCTGGTCGACGACAACACTGCACGCTGCGAGCGAGTTGTGGGCGCCACCTACCGACCGGGTTCCGAACTGCGACAGCGTATCAACGGGCATCCGAACCAGTTCACCACGGTGACAGGGGAGCGACTGATACGTATGACGCGCACCGCCCCCTCACCACACGACCACCAGGCGTCTGTTTGACATAAAGAATCGACTCCGAACACTGACTATTCAAGACAACTCTTACCACTCAAACACACTCGAACCCATAAGCCATCTGTGGCTGGGAAGGCATCACAACGAGACCGAGTGATGGCCATCCGTCGTTTATAAAGTATTCGTAATTTTTATCTTTAATATTTAGTGGGCTGTACTCTTAATCGCATAAATTCCCAACAGATCCATCAATACGAACTGATTCTTGGCACCTCCTTCCGCCGAGCCACGCTCACGTGGGGAGTGGTGGCCCACCGGATCCTTATCAGGTGATCTAGTCCCCAATTAGTAAACTTGGTATAAGATAACGATCTTCGGAAAAGGAGCACCGTCGCAGGCCCTTACTCCGAGCCGTTCTGTTGTCAGATAACCTGCCGATGTATCTGTTGAGATTGGTGCCTTTAAGAATAATAACTGTTTTTGATTGTGTTTTTTTTT